GGACAGAAAGAAAAGTATATAAATAGATAAATAAATAAGGACTTGGGTTCTCATGGGGATCTTGTACCACAATATTTGTGTCCCTATCTCTGAGTCAAAATATTCAAGTCCCACTTGTGCCACATGTGTGTCATAAGATGTCCAAACATGCTGTTTAAATAAAAGAGCTGGGTATTTCCCCTTGGGATGCTGGCTTCTTGTAAACGTCTTCTAGTCAGGGAAAGGGTCAAAACTGATGTTTCTGCTAAACTATAGGTTTCTAAAAAAAAAACTGACAAGACCACTCTGTCATGAAATAACATACTCCACCAAAGCTGTAATGTAAACATTAGAGGGAGAGTTTGAAAGTTTTGTTAAGCAGCAGATTATCTGTCATTGATATGCAATTTTCATAAATTGCAGTGTGTTTATCAGGAGAATACGTTTTTCTTCCATCCATACACACGAGTGTTGCTAATAAGGCCAGCATTTACTACCCATCTCTAATTGCATTTGAGAAGGTGATTAATCACATTCTTGGATATAACTAAATAATTTGCTAAACCACTTCGAGAGCAGTTAAGACATAACCACACTGCTGTGGGTTTCGAACCATATTATTGCCAGACTGAGTACAAACGGCCAGTCTCCTTTCCTGGAGAATGTTGACAAACCAGAGGACTTTTTACATCAACCTATAGTTTTGGTGTCAGCATTACTGACAGAGGCATTTTATTCCAGATTTTCTTCAATTTTATTTAGATTTTCCCCACTGCCATTTAAGTCATGTCCTGCATTACTAGAGTGGGTTTTTGGATTAGTCCAGTAATATAGCCATTACCCACCATACTCCTGAAAACAGAATCTATGTTGCATTTTCCATCTTGGTCTTGCACAGCCATCTATTGTCGGCTGAAGAATTGCCACTCCAAAAAAAACACCAAGTTTCTTCTAGAATACTGAAACTTAAGTTCCCCTTCAAACAATCATTTTGATTTACAAAGACATGCAGTATGTATTTCTGCAGCAAAAAAACTGGCTGCCATAATGTGGGAAACAGACACCAAGGGTAATTCCAGCATGAGGAGATATCACTTTCCTTATGTGGAAGAATCCACCAGTTAATTTTAATCATTTTTGTAATGTGTGAAGTCACGTTTTGGCATGTTAGCATTTTCATTTTCTCAAAACACGCTGCTTTTGGGACTTTCTGCAAACACAGAGTGCATTTAACTTCACTCGGCCATCTCCATTAGGTTCTCTTTGTTTTGCGAGTGTAGGGTTGGGAGAATGGGAAACTCCAAATTGCAACTTTTCCTGTCTGTTAATTTGGTGGACATTCCAGAACAAGAAATTCTATTTTGGAACTTTCTATAGCCTACAGTAAATTCTAAAATAGATGTCATTCGACTAAAGCACATTAAAAGTTAAAAAATGCTTCACAGTTTATAGCTCCTGGATTTTATGCCCTGTCAAACTGGGCTTGCTAGTGCAGTACTGCGAGTGGGAAGTGTTGAATTACAATGCTCCCATTGCTATGAGGGTGGATGAACTAGAGATGCAGATTATGGTAAGCACATCAGTGCAATTTCATGCTTGTGCTGTTACAGAAAATGTCAGTACAAGACATCAAGTAAGTTTTTAAAGGAAAGTAAACACGTGGAGGTTGGAAATTTGAGGATTATGGAGATATTGAGTAAGTCTTCCCCGTATTAATATCTCAAGGAGTCTCATTTTGAGAAATTCAATTTAACAGCCCATGAAACCCAGAACTAGATATTACACAGTATTCATCTACAATATAAGGCATTTTAACTGAATAATGTCACATTATGTTTTGGATTCTCCCCTCAAGTAATGCAAAGGGAGTAAATTGACGAACAGGTTTTTCTTTAGCCCCTGAACCAGCATCAAATTAAAAGCAAAATTACAGTATGAAATTCTTCCGCTTTAACCCCCAAAAGAACAGGAATGAGCAAAGATAGACAAGTGTCAAGAGGGGTTAAAATATGTATTCTGATTTGTTTATTTAAAGCAATTATGCAGCACAATTGGGGTAATTTTATAAAAAACTATAACGCTCACATGCCAAAACCTGAAGCATTACGAAAATTATTAAAATGTTATTGTTGCTTCTTCCATGTACAATTATAGACACAGCCACTAAAAAGAATTATAGAATTGTTACAGTTTAGAAAGAGGCAACATAGCCCGTGGTGTCTGCACCAGCTCTCCAAATGAGCATCTCAAATACTACTTTCCTCCCTTCTCCTATAACCTTACTCATTGCTTCTTTTCAAATAACAGCCCAATTCCACTTTGCATGTCTCAATCGAACCTGCTTCTACCACACTTTGAGGCATTGCATTCCATACCCCAACCATTCACTGTGTGAAGTTTTTCCCTCCATATCACTCTTGCTTCTTTCACTAATTATTTAAAATCTGTGCCCTCTCGTTCTCAGTTCTTTCATGAGCAGAAACATTTTATGCCCAATTATTGTGAAGAATTCAAAATCTTGCATATTTTTTACAATCAGATCTCCTTTCAGCCTTCACTTCTCCAACAAGAACAATCTCAGCTTCTATTAAAAAAAAGCTGAAAGAATTACGAATACTGGAAATCCAGTATTCCAGTACCAGTTTCTACAATCTATCCTCAATTTCTCAACCCTGGAAATATTCTGTTAACACCCTTTTGCACTTTCTCCAATACCTACGGATACTTTCTAAAAGCAGCTCCCAGAACTAGACACAATACTCCGGTTGAGGCCAAATTAATGTTCAACATAAGTTCTTGTACTTTTCCCTGTGTTAATAAAGATTTAGGATACTAGATGCTTAAGAAACTGCTCTCTCAATCTGATCTGTCACTTTTAATAGCTTGTGCACATGTTTATCCAGATCCTTTTGTTCCTTTAGAATTGTATCCTTTATTTTATGTTGTCTCTTCATGTTCTTCATACCAAAATGCATGACCTCGCATTTTTGCACATTGATCTTCATGTACCATTCATCCACCCTTTTGTCTAAGCTCTTTTGAAGTTCTACACAACCTTCCTCTCGGCTTAAAACGTTTCCAAGTTTTGTAACCTGTGCCCTGTGCACCAAGATCTAACGTGCTAATACATATTGGAAAAAGCAAGAGTCTACCATGCAGCTGGGAATTCTACCACTGAACATGCCCCAGCCCTCAAGACATGCATTAATTAACCATCGTTCTCTATTATCACTCAGTCAACTTTTATAGAGTCATACAGCATGGAAACAGACCCTTCGGTCCAACTCGTCCACATCGACCAGATATCCCAATCTTAACCCAGACCCATTTGCTAGCATTTGGCCCATATCCCTCTAAACCTTTCCTGTTTGTGTACCCATCCAGATGCCTTTTAAATGTTATAATTGTACCAGCCTCCACCACTTCCCCTGGCAACTTGTTCCATACACGCATCACCACCTGTGTGAAAAGGTTGCCCCTTAAGTCCTTTTTAAATGTTTCCCCACTAACCTTAAACCTACGCCCTCTAGTTTTGGACTCCCCCACCCTGGGAAAGTCATTGGCTATTCACCCTATCCATGCCCCTCATGATTTTATAAACGTCTACAAGGTCACCCCTCAGACTCTGACACTCCAGGGTAAACAGCCCCAGTATATTCAACCTGTGCCTATAACTCAAACCATCCATCCTTGTAAATCTTTTCTGCACCCTTTCAAATTTAGCAACATCCTTCCTATAGAAGCGCAACCAGAATTCCAGAATTGTGTGCTGTACTCTAAATGTGGCCTCACCAGTGTCCTGTGCAGTCACAACATGATGTCCCAACTCATATATGCAATGCTCTGACCTACAAAGGCAAGTGTGCCAAATGCCTTCCTCACCACCCTATCTACATGTGACTCCACTTTCAAGGAACTATGCACATGCACTCCTAGGTCTCTTTGTTCTCCACAGGGCCCTAGCATTAAGTGTATAAGTCCTGCCCTGATTTGCCTTTCCAAAATGAAGCACCTCATATTTATCTAAATTAAGCTCCATCTGCCACACCTCAGCCCAAAGGCTCATCTGATCAATGTCCCATTGTAACAGGAGGTAACCTTCTTCGCTGTCAACTATTCCACTGATTTTGGTGTCATCTGCAAAAGTATTCACCATGCCTTCTATATTCACATCTAAATCAATGACAAAATAATTGACGAAAAACAGTGGACCCAGCAGTGTTGGTGGCACACCTCTGGTCACGGGCCTCCAGTCTGAAAAGCAACCCTCTACCATCACCCTTTGTCTCCTACCTTCAAGCCAATTTGCTAGCTTCCCCTGGATCCCATGTGATCTAACCTCACTAACCAGCCTAGTGAACGGAACGCTGTATCCACATTGTCACTGGCACTTTTATTCCATGAGCTAACACTTTGGTCCCATATCTGTTGTGCAGATATTGGATGGGGAGAGAGACTAAGTTTCAAAACAACTCTTGCTAAAGTCTAGATATTTTCTAAACAACCTATTCAGAGATAGCAATAACACATCTCTAGAGCGGATGAGATTTGAACCCAAGGCCTCCTGGCTCAGAGGTAGGGTCACTGCCACCACAGACGACGTTAGTTGTGGGAACAAATTGAAACCTTAACACAAGCTAATACAGAACAGGAAAGCGTGCAGCATTGAAAGCTAACTGGCTTCAGCGCGCTTGTTAGAAGGTGCCCGGGAGAGACAGAAAAAAAATGCCCCCAATTTGCCGCTTGACCAGGCGCCTCGCCGATCCTAGGCACAAGAGCGATCACCCACTGCCGAGTGCTCCATGGAAAAACCCCCAGAGTTTCCGAGCGCCTGCTAGCCCGGGAGGCGAGGAATTATAATACACGGTACACGTTTACAAAACAAATCAGCTCAATTACACAAGGAGGAAAGCGTGCGGTTGACATTTAGTTTTCATTTCGTGACTGTCGGGACAAAACAAAAGCGTCAACTGGAGAACAAAACAAAATGTTATTGTTCCCCCCAAGGGGTACCGAGTTACCTGTGTGAATACAGCGAACTGCATAAGCGACAGCCTGGTGAAAGTTAAAGTGAAGATGCACACGAGTGGGCTCATTCGCCCCCTTTACACCGTCTTCACGCCAGGGACCGCAGTGACCGCAGGCCGGTGTTCATGGTACTGCCGGTTGTTCCTGTGAATCTCGGCAGCGCTGCTGGGTCTTCAGCAACGGAGGGCAAGTTCCTAACTCGCTCTCTCTCACGCACACACACACCAAATGGGCGGCTCGGACACTGAGGAAAGGAGACAAGCGCCAAGTCTAAATGGCCTCGCAGCTCAGAGGGAAGATGCTGGTAGACTGCAGCTGGAGACAGCCTGTGTGCAGTCTGTTTGTCTGCCCCGACTCACTCACTCAGACACTTGTGAAAGAGAAAGTTCAAAATGCAAACCAAAGTCGAGGAAGCCTGAAATATCACGTATCGCGACCAGACGCAACTGTGCGTGTGCCTGTTTCCACCGGTTCCTTCCCCACTCACATTGCTGATAAGCAGGTCCTGAACTGTCTTATTCCATAAAAACAAAAGGCTGCGGGCGCTAGAAATGTGAAATTATAACAAAGTTAGCGGGTCTCGCAGCACCCATGGAGAGAGAGAGAGAGAGAAAGAAACAGCAAAGGGTCACGAGCAAAAACAAAAGTTTCTGGAAAAGCTCAGCTGGTCTGGGAGCATTTGTGGAGAGAAATCAGAGTTAACGTTTCGGGTCCGGTGACCCTTCTTCAGAGCAAAGAAGGATATTTGGACGCGAAAAGAGCTTTTCTCGTGAACTCTCTCTCTCTCTCTCTCTGCGTGTCCTGCTGAGTATGTACACCATTTTCATTTCTTATCTCAGATTTCCAGCATAGGCAAAAAGAATTCGTTTCTGCCCTTCCATCGTCTGTTTGATCTTCGCCCCGAATGAAGCGACTGGAACATCATATGAGAGGCACTAGTCAAATGCACAGTGTTGTTTTTGAACGGTTGATGTCCGAGCCAGTTTATTTTCTTTTTAATTGTTGCAGATTGATCGCAATCGCTGGGGACCCACTGTCGAGTTTGATATCATGTGAAATTAAAGGGAAAGCTCAGCAATTCATATTTTCATTTGTTGAAACAACAGCCGGTCACGTAGTACGGGATATGTGTGAAGACAGAGCAAAGCTTGTTGACCGTTCCGTGAACCGGGAAATTTGAACAGTTCGGTGAGAGAAACCGGGGCGGGTGGGGGGTGGGAAACGACTTGACTAAATGCTGTTTACTTATCTAACCACTGCAAGTGGCTTGCTCCCTAACAAAGTTTGATGATTCAGTCTGTGGTTGAAACAAAAAACGGAGCAGAAAGGGGAGTTTATTTTTGTTTAAAAAGGAAACAAAATCACCCTTGATTCTCCTCAATACAGACACAAGCGAGGTTTTAGTAAGAGATAGTAGGAACTGCCGATGCTGGAGAATCTGAGATGAAGCAGGCCAGGCAGCATCAGAGGAGCAGGAAAGCTGACGTTTCGGGTCTAGACCCTTCTTCAGAACAGGTTCCAGACCGAAGTGTCAGCCTTCCTGCTCCTCTGATGCTGCTTGGCCTGCTGTGTTCATCCAGCTCTACACCTTGTTATTTCGAGTTTTTTTAAAATTAGCTCTTAAACCGTATTTAATAGAAATAACATGAGGCAAGGAAACTGGAAATATCTGTGTCAAAATGAAAAATCGGTCTGTTATCAGGTATGTGTATGACAACCCTTTTAAGTGACTGTACTTGCTTTTAAACTGCATTTCTACCTGAAAATTGACTTACCAACGTTATTTTAGCATGGCCCTGAAATTATTGTACATTTGAACAAGCGTCGTTTAGTGTGCTTAGCGTACTAAAACTCAAATTACTTAACTGGCATTTCGCTTACAGCTCCTAAAACATAATGGACATTAATGCAAATAACTACCCTTTGATTCACTATTAAAATTTGGTTTTGTTAACGTACTTAACACAATATACTGCCTGAGATTTTTTTTTCATTCGTTCATGGGATATACTAGGTTCGCATTTATTGTCCATCCCTAATTGCCCTGGAGAAACTTATGATGAGCTACTGCCTTGAACTACTGGCTGTCACTGCACCACAAAGACTGCATAGTGCTGTTGCAGAGAGGCGTCAGTATTTTGACTAAGTGATAATGATGGAATGGTAATAATGTTCGGAGTCAGGATGGTATATGGCTTGAAAGAGATCTTTCAGATGGTAGTGTTCCCATGTATCTGCTGCTGTTGCCCTTCTAGGTAGTAGGAGTCATGGGTTTGGAAGTTGCCTAATAAGGAGACTTGGTGTTGTTGCCATGTATCTGCTGTGTGTCAGTGGTGGAGGGAGTGAATGTTGAAGGCGTCAGATGGGTGCCATTCAAATGGGCTGCTTTGTCCTGGATGATGTCAAGCTTATTGAGTGTTGTTAGGCCTCTACTGTAGAGTTTTCCAGTGCACTCAGGTCAATGGTAACTACAGGATATTGATAATGAGGGAGTCAGTGATGATAATTCTATTGAATGCCAGTGATGATTGTTGGATTCTCCCTTGTTGGAAATGGTCATTGCCTGGCAGTTTTGTGAACAGGACATTCCTGGATAATTTTACACATTTGCTAGATAGATCCTAGTGGTGTAACTGTAGTGTAACATCTTGGCTAGTGGCTCCCCTGGTTCTGGAGCACTCGTCTTCAATACTATAGTTGGATTATTGTCAAGGCCCATAGCCTTTGCACTATCCAGTGCTTTTAGCCATTTTGTGATATTGAATCAAATTGCTTGATTGCTGGCATCCATGGTGATCAATCATCTACTTAGCACATCTGGCTGAAGATAATGTAAATGCTTCAGCCTTATTGTTATCTTGAAGTGCTGTACTCACCCATTAATGAGAATGAAGACATTTTTAAAGCTGCCTCCTCCATTGATTACACTACATCTGTAGTATAAAGATCGCATTCCTTTTATCAGTTCAAGCCTGGACGTTCTCCAGATCATGCCGTACATGAACACAGACAAGGCTTTGGTGTCTGAAGTGTCATGAATAGAGCTAAACATTGTACATCACAAAAAAACATCCTCACCTCTGATTTTTATGATGGAGGGAAGGTCATTGAAGGAGCTGAAGATGCTTGGGCCTCGGACACTCCACTGAGGAACTCCCAAAGCAATGTCCTGGCACTGAGTTTGTTGATATCTGGCAGTCATAGTCATCTTATTTTGTGCTAGGTATGGCTCCAACCAGTGGAGTGTGGTGGAAGTAGATTCAATCCAGCCTTTCAGAAGGGCAGAAAGAACATTTGCAGGGCTGCAGAGAAAGGGAGATCGCGGGCTAGCTAAATTTATTTTGCAGGGTGCCAGCATGGATATGATGGGTCAAATGGCCAGAGTTTGTGCTGTGGCCATTTTATGAGTGCAGTAACAAGTGATTCTTTTTGAGATTATCAACGGAGAAAGTAGTAAGCAGATCTTTCTGTAGAATCAAGCAGGTCGGCTGAGTCCAGGGGCACTGACTCACACCTGCCTAAAGTTATACAAGTAGACTACACTCTCTACCTGTAATATTGCTACAGCTTAAAAAATCTACCAAGCCTTGGCAACTTTCCATTGGAGAGAACAATTTATTTAGTGATGTATGCATTTAAAGTAAAATATTTATAGCAAACATTAAACCATGTCTTGGAAAATTGACATAAAAGTTCAATTCTTTACTCAGAGAGTAGTAAGGGCATGGAATGCCCTGCCTGCAAAAGTAATAGATTTGCTAACTTTAAGGGCATTTAAATGGTCATTGGATAAACATATGGATGATAATGGAATAGTTTAGGTTAGATGGGCTTCAGATTGGTTTCACAGGTCGGCGCAACATCGAGGGCCGAAGGGCCTGTACTGCGCTGTAATGTTCTATGTTCTATGTTAATTGTATTTGGTTTTAAGAAAAAGAAGAATTCAAGCTGACGTATTGTAGAATTGAAAAATATATATATGTTTATTAATCTATCATAATACTTGTTACATCTCACTGGGACAGTGCACTAGAAATCAAAACCAACTACTCCTGGAGTCGTCACGGAAGTTAAAGAATTTTAAAAGTATGTAGAATTCCCCATTTAACAAAGGGGAGGCAATGGCCTAGTGATATTATCACTTGACTGTTAATCCAGAGACCCAGATAATGTTCGAATCCCACCACAGCAGATGGTGGAAATTGCATCCAATAAGTATGACCGTGAATCCATTGTTGATTGTTAGGAAAAACCCATCTGCTTCACTAATGTCCTTTAGGAAAGGAAACTGCCATCCTTACTTGGTCTGGCCTACATGTGACTCCAGACCCACAGCAATGTGGTTGACTCTCAACTGCCCTCTGGGCAATTAGGGATGGGCAAAAAATGCTGCCTATCCAGCAACGCCCTCATCCCATGAATGAATAAAAAAAACCTGATTTTCATACCGAGGTTTACGGAAGGTGTGGACCAGATTCCTGTACTTAACAAGATTCCTGTGCTTAAATAGACCCCAGGTAAACAATAAGAACCATCAGCCTATAACTCTACTAGTTAAAGCTTAAATCCCTCATAAATTCCCTCCAGACAGAAAAATACAGGGAAAAACTTATGGGTGTCATAGGTGGAAAGAAAGACAAGGAATACAGAGTACTGGGCTAATGGTAAGATTCTTGGTAGTGTGGATGAGCAGAGAGATCTTGGTGTCCGTGTGCATAGATCACTGAAAGTTGCCACCCAGATTGATAGGGTTGTTAAGAAGGCGTGCGGTGTGTTAGGTTTTATTGGTAGAGGGATTGAGTTTCGGAGCCATGAGGTCATGTTGCAGCTGTACAAAACTCTGGTGCGGCTGCACTTGGAGTATTGCGTGCAGTTCTGGGCACCGCATTATAGGAAGGATGTGGAAGCATTGAAAAGGGTGCAGAGGAGATTTACCAGGATGTTGCCTGGTATGGAGGGAAGGTCTTATGAGAAAAGGCTGAGGGACTTGAGGCTGTTTTCGTTAGAGAGAAGAAGATTAAGGGGTGACTTAATAGAGACATACAAGATGATCAGAGGATTAGATAGGGTGGACAGTGGGAGCCTTTTTCCTCGGATGGTGATGGTTAGCACGAGGGGACATAGCTTTAAATTGAAGGGTGATAGATATAGGACAGATGTCAGAGGTAGGTTCTTTACTCAGAGAGTAGTAAGGGCGTGGAATGCCCTGCCTGCGAAAGTAGTAGACTCGCCAACTTTAAGGGCATTTAAATGGTCGTTGGATAAACATATAGATGATAATGGAATAGTGTAGGTTAGATAGGCTTCAGATTGGTTTCACAGGTCAGCGCAACATCGAGGGCCGAAGGGCCTGTACTGCGCTGTAATGTTCTATGTTCTATGTTCTTATGTTCTATGAAAGCAGTTCAGTATTTCCTGTTCACATGATCTGCTGAGCTGATTCTTGGGCTGATCAGAACACTACTTCCTCAGTCATAACAAGGTGTAGAGCTGGATGAACACAG